CTAATTCCCCCGGTCTCTATCTCTCCCTGTCTGCCTCCCCTCTGTTCTCCCCCCTATGCCTTGCCTGGACCCCCTCCTGCAGGTAACTTACCTCGGCCATCTCTTCTGGGGCGTGGGCTCTCATCTTCTCTGCTGCTTTCTTCTCCGGACACTGCTGCAGTTCATGGACCCGTCCAGCAGGTGGTGCCTGGATCACAGCTGATGTCTTCTGTGGATGCTGGAACTGCTGTTTCTGTGCCTCAGCCTTCTGTGAGCACAGTGCCGGGCTTGGATCGCCAGGCTGCGACCGGTGAGTACATTTCCCTCCCCTTTTTTAGCTCTTCGCGTGCGTATGTTGTTCCTGCTTTTATTCAGTCTAGTCCTGTAAGCACAAAAAAAAAAAAAAATTACAAGAAAGAAATAAAATTTAAATTACCAAAATGGAATAAATTACAAAAACAGAAAAAAAAAAAAAAAAAAAAAAGAAAAAAAAAAAACACGCGGAGTACAATGACAAATACAAGAGGAAGAATAAAAAAAAAAAAAAGTGAAATAAAACCCCAAAATAGGGTACATGGACGCCGCTCCCCCCCCCCCCTTTCATTTTCAGTATGTATCATATGTTTAAGTACGCTTTCCTGCAGGGTTCGGTGCAGCCGATAGCGCTGGCGATGCCTCCCAGGTTCATGTGACTCTGGGTGTTGCTGAGCTAATATGGCCCGCTTGGCCATACTAAGGAGCGGATGGGGGAAGGGGTTTTTACTGCAGGTATGTTCCCTCCTGCCACGGGGGGTCCCTTGACTAATGGGGACATTAGAGGCTCCGGGAGGGTCGTGGGGAGCATGCTGTGATCGGATACACCAGTGTTCTGGATAGCATGGTCGGGGAGAGGGCTCCCCGAGAATGCGCTGCATGGTTTTGCGGTCAGGACACTCGGGACGCGTATCTTGACTGGGATGAGCTGGGTTGGTGGAGGGATGTCTTGCACTTTCGTCAATGGTTGGCGGTGCGACCAGTGGCGTACATACCAGGGCCTCGGCTGCGACCCGGTATGTACCCACAGGGCTAGCCTCTTCACCTGGGGGGCCCAGGAGGCGGCCACCTCAGGGCCCCCCCTAAGGCTGGCCCTGCTGTCCTGGGTGGCCGGCACGCGAGGGAGCACTCTCCTCTGAGTGCCTCCTCTTCAGCTCCCTCGTGCACCGCACTGATGCCGGAGCCGGAAGATGACGCAATCTTCCGGCTCCGGCATCCCTATGCAGCGCGCGAGGGAGCTGAAGAGGAAGCACTCGCGTGCGTCTGTAAGTGAGAGTGTGTGTATCTTGAGCACTTACCTTTCTCCAGCGCCGGACTCCCTTGGCGCTTGGGATCCCTCAGTCTCAGCTCCGAATGCGACCGCGCACGCATTCAAACCGCCCATAGGAAAGCATTACTCAATGCTTTCCTATGGACATTCAGTGTGCTCCTCTAGCGGCTGTCAGTGAGACAGCCACTAGAGGCTGGATTGACCCTCAGTGAAACATAGCAGTTTCTCTGAAACTGCTATGTTTTCAGTTGCAGGGTTAAAACTAGAGGGACCTGACACCCAGACAACTTAATTGAGCTGATGTGATCTGGGTGTCTGTAGTGGTCCTTTAAGTGTGTGTGCATCTGCATGCACTGGCGTACATACTGTGGTCGCAGGGATCGCAGCCCTGTAACCCCTGCGACCAGGTGCCCACCGCCATGTGTTGCGGCCCGGCCCGCGCGCGGGTGGGGGGCCCACGGATCAATTTTCGCACCGGGGCCGACCCTTCTTGGCCTGGGACCAGATGGGCTTCGGCCTCTGGTTTTACTTAAGGCTCGCCTGGTGCCTCAGCACGGTGCGTTTTCATCCTCTCTGCAATCTGTCGGGATAGGGGACGTGGGTGCTCTAGGTGCAGGATCCTCAGTCCATGTGAGAGCTCCATCGGGCGGTGTGGGTCCGGTTTACCAAGAATGCTTGATAAGCTTACTTCCC